TGGCTGAGCATTCATTATCAACTCCTCTGCCCAATACACCAGGATACAGCTTTTTTTTTTTTTTCACTTTTATTTTCACCCCAAACAGGCTTCTCCCTCAATTCTGCTCTTTTTGTATTCTAAGAATCTACCACAGCAACTCTCCTTCTTCAGGGTCAGGATCTGTGCAGATGTGTCTCAGAAGTGCTTGAGCAGATAGGAATAGAGAAGCTCCGGCAAGGAGATTCTAAGTGATGGTGTCACCTTCCTGCCAACTCCTTCATCACCTCTCTTTCAAATCGAAAGGAATGCCAGCCCTCGGCTTCCGTCAGATCTTGACCTCCTAGGGCTTTGTACAAGTCCATGGCCCTCTTATTCCAGTCCAGAACTGCCAGGCGGAACTGGGAGCAACCCTTATCCAAAGCCACCTGAAGAAGAAGAAACCATTCACTGTCCTGGGATGAAAAGTTTTTTCCTTTCGTGCACACGTGTGCGTGCTTGTGTGTGTGTGTGTGTGTCAGTACTGGGAGGCCGGGAAGCTGTCCCTTACCATTTTCACTCAAGGCTGCCATTCTGCCACTTGAGCCACAGCTCTATTAGCTTTCTGCTGGTTAGTTAATCAGATAACACAACTGGCTTCAAACCACAGTCCTCAGATCACAGCCTTTTTATTTTGTTGTTGTTGTTGTTGTTTTTGCCAGTCGTGGAGCCAGAACTCTGGGCCTGGGCACTGTCCTTCAGCTCTTCAGCTCAAGGCTAGCACTCTACCACTTGAGCCACAACACCACTTCTGGCTTTTTCTGCTTATGTGGTGCTGAGGAGTTGAACCCAGGGCGTCATGCATGCAAGGCAAGCACTCTACCACTGAGCCATCTTCCCAGTCCCAGATCACAGCCTCTTTAATAGCTAGCTAGGATTATAGGCATGAGCCACTGCTGCTGGTTTTCTTACCCCTTCATTCACCTCTAGGGGTCTCTCCATATATTCTTATTTTTACAGAGCCTACTTTGTAGTTCCCACCTATTCCTTACCTCAGCCACCTTTTTTATAATCTTGGTACCAATCCCTTGACCTGTTGTGGGGAGAAAGGCAAAAAGAAATACTGTTTTATTTGAAGGGAATTATAAGAGGCCATAGACTGGTATAAGGGGGTAAGGGGCTGGTGGTGGGTTTGTGAGTTACTATGTCCACCCTAGCCTCTTCTCCCTGCCTTGTACCCCGATATTCTGGCATCACATAAACATCTTCCAAGTAAATGTTTCTTCCTGTCCATGTGCTGTAGATGAAGTAGTAAAGCCCATAACCCACCACACAGGGCCCTGAAAAAGAAGCAAAGATAGAAGTGAAGCCTCTGGGAATGAGGGTACAGCAACGTTCGTCCAGTGGCTGCCTGAAGAGGTGCTCTTACCCTGTGGATCCCCAGGTGCCACCATCTCTGCTACCAGACAGTGATAGAAAGGATTCTCTCCAAAGCCATCTGCTCTCAGGGCTGCAGATTGAAGGTGTAACAAAGACTCAGAGGAAAAGAAGACCTGTGCGTAGGCCCACCGCCCAGGGAACCGTCCCTCACTTTGTCCCCAGCCTTCATCAGGTTCTGAGTCCCACCTTCTTCACTGATCTTCACCTGATCCGAGAGTTTCTCGTATTCGGCCAGTTCCTAAAGCGTGGGGACAGAGGCAAGATTAGGGCAGGAGCCCCCTTCCCTCGCTCCAGGAGCAGGGGCCTAGGGCACGTCCCCAACACCTCCCACTCCCTGGTCCCCGCAGCGCTGCCCTGACCCTTCTGGAACCCTAGGTTTCTTGGGGTGGGGGGGACGGCCATCACCCGAATCATCCTTAGTATATCTCCACAGTCTCCCTCCTGGGCCTCTCGGATCCGAACGGAAGCCATCCCGATTCCCAATGTCAGGACCGAAGAAGACAACCCCCACTTCCGTCCTGCAGGGCGGAGCAAAGGGCCGACAAATTCGGCTCCTAAAGAGCTGGGAGAAAAGGGCAGTCGAGGGGCTACAAGGCTCCCAGTCTCGAGCCCGCCAGCCCCAGCTGGAAGCCGGGTTCAGCCGGGAGGACCTAACCCTCTGCGAGCGCACGCTACCCAGCCAATCAGCTTGCAGAACGGGAACATTTCCCCGCCTTGGCCCCCCCTCCGAAAGCTTGGTCTCGTGATTGGGCCCAGCGCAGGGGTCAAAGCTTTCTGTTCCAGCCTCCATCTGCTTGCTCTTACCCCAGGCTCAAAAGTCACCTCCTGCTTCCACTTCTTCTCCTTCTCCTCCTTCTCCTTCTTTTTTTTGGTCGGTCGTGGGCCTTGAACTCTGGGCCTGGGCGCTGTCGGTCCCTTAAGTGTTCTACAACCTCAGCCACAGTCCACTTCTGGCTCTTTGGTGGTTATTTGGAGATAAGACTTTCCTGCCCAAGCTGGCTTTGGAGTTTGCTGCATGGGCTGGCTTTGAACCCCGATCCTCAGATCTCACCCTCCTGAGTAGCTAGGATTACAGGCGTGAGCCGCCGACGCCGGGCACCTCCTGCTTCTTTAATTGAAGTAGACTCTGCTTTAGAGTTTTTTCTCCCTCGTGCACCCATTCCAGGCAGCCCAGAACCTGGATGAGCCTCAGGACCTTAGCTGTATATTTCCTACAACATTGTTGAACTTAGGGCCTAGAGTCTGTCACTTGAGACACACCTTCAATTGTGGAGAGAGAGACGGAGACAGAGAGAGAGGTTAATTGTAGATTAGGGTTTCACTGACTTTCCTGCCAGGGGCTGGCTTTGAACCTCCATCCTCAGATCTCAGCCTCCTAAGTAGCTAGGATTACAGCATGAGCCACTGGTGCCAGCTCAGGTGCACATTTTATGACTGAGCTAAGCTCCCAGTCCTACAATTACTGCTGTTCAGTGGTACAACATGTTTCTATTAGCCAGGCATTGGTGGCTCAGGCCTGTAATCATACGTACTCAGGAGGCTGAGACCTGAGGATCGTGGTTAAAAGCCAGCCCGTGCAGGAAAGTCTGTGAGACTCTTTAATAAACCACCAGAAAACCGGAAGTGGTGCTGTGGCTCAAGAGGTAGAGCGCTAGCCTTGAGCTGAAGAGCTCAGGGACAGCATCTAGACTCCACAGAGTTCAAGCCCCACGACTGACAAAAAACAAACATGTTTCTACTTTGGGGGACTTTTTGTTGTTGTTGTTGGTCACAGGGCTTGATCTCTGAGCCTGGGTGCTGTCCCTCAGCTCTTCTGTTCAACGTAAGTGCTCTACCACTAGAGCTGCCACTTTGATTTTCTGGTGGTTAATTGGAAATGAGAGTCTCATGGACTTTCCTGCCCGGGCTGGCTTTGAACCA